CTGCGTACTTCATATTCTAGGTCTCCTTCTGCCCTCCTCACCTAGAAAAGAATTTCCCAAGGACTGACTGGAGAAGTCAGATAGTAAGATGGGATAGTAGTGACCCCCAAGTGGGGGCTTTGGGCTGAGGTTCCTTCCATAGTAAAAGTCATGGGAAGATGATCCATGACAATATTTAGTGGGGTAACAACAATGCACAACCACAACTACTGATTCCAAGTTAGTGAGAAGACCATATGTTTTACCCAAACTGGGGCACTTTAAGTGAAAGAGGCCCTATTAACTGTATTAGGATAAATGTATAAATCGAGACTGCCCTAGAATTAGGGCATATAGTTTCCTATGGACAGCTGGGGGAAAATTAGCACCTAGAAACTTAAAATCACTTACTCAAACTGTTAATTAAAATCTTCCTAACAGTTGAGTTAGTCACTGCCTTGATAAAATGGTCAGGAATGACTCAGAAATTTAGACTTTATCTTTGCAGCTTAAAGCTGTGCTGAGCTTGCCAATTTACGTAACAGCGCATAAGGCATTAAGTTTGGCCTATCAGATTACACTATAAAATAAAATAAAGTAAAATAAAAAATTAAATTAATAAAAAATATATAAAATAAAATAGTGGAACTCCTGTGGTCAAATTGGAGATCCTCATGGGCCCCTATCCCCCCCTTCTCCAGAGGCCCATAAAGGGATCCAATGAACTCCTAGGATCCTGGAGGCATAAAACCTGATGGGGGTGAGGACAGTGTCTAGAGGAGACAGCCACTCCACCAGCTTCCCAGGAATCTGGTAAGATCTCATGTTCCACAGTATGTCAAGACACCCAGCTGGGATCCAGTCTTTACAAGGGACTCTGTAAGTCTCTGGCTTTACATCATACAGATACAAAGCATTAAGTCCACATCCAGTTATTTAAACATCAAAGGTTACAAATGCCCACGTACACAACATCACAGATTAACATCTACCAGCTGAGCATGCATCATGTGCCCACCACTGTTCTAGATGCTGAGTGCCCAAGGTGAGCAATCCAGACAAGAGTCCCTGCCTGTCATTCAATTCCTTCCTTCCTGCAATGCCTGCTGCCTCACCTCCAAACCAAATCACACATTCCTTTCAAGAACTTTCTCCCAGAAACCTCCCCAAACCCATCTCACCTAGGCTATTTGTATTCCAGCTCAGAATGAGTCAGCACTATATATAGAATCCACACTTTGTACCTTCTCCAATCCCAAGCTTTCGAAGGTAACTGGAGCGCTTCTCCATATGCATTATAGGCAGTTTCAATAATTGGGGACTTTTCTTCAAGGCCACGCACACAGGCTCTGGATTCACACCCAAGAGTATTAACTTTGAGATGATAGCCAGCAACTGTTGAGGGTGGGGACTTGGTTGTATACTGAGCAATTCTTGGACATGGACATCAGTGAAACCCATGTCCAGGAGGGAACTGATGACCTCCTCTCGCGCCGAAGACCCTCCATCCACAGGAGCCCTCTGCTTCTCAAGGAGGCACTGAGTAAGGCTTGTCCCACACTCTAGTTCCTGCACATACTTTCTGGGTTGGACATGGGGTAACCCCTTAAGGGCCCCTCCACTGGAGGCTGTGGTCAGTTTACGCAGCAAGGAAGCCGTTGCCCTTTTCTGTTCTCCGAAATGAGGCGTCTGCCTCGAGATACTGGCCCAGGAGAGGGGGATCAGGCGATGCCAGTCCAAGACCTGTAAAATGTAATACAAAAGGGAGTCACTCCCTCACCACTCCATGTAATGGGAACCCACAGGGTTGGTGAGCAGAGTCCTACACAAACATAACAGATTTTGTAAGAAATCTGCAAAACCATATCTTAATTTTAAAAACCTAGAAGAGGTTCACACACAGAGAACAGAGTCTAACAGTCCCTATTAGCTTCTGCTGCCACAACTGAGAGGCACCCTCAGTTGCAGAGGGGGGACAGGGGCAGGGGGGACAGGGAGAACTAGTTAAAGGCCACCTGGTAAAGTTTATCTGCTAAGGTTCCGTGCCTGAGGGCCTACACATTTAGTCAGATTAACAGAAGAAAAAAAGCCTCAAAGTTTCTCAGTATGTATATGGAACCTAACCAAAGAGGCAGCTAGCTCCCTAGGTGGCTAAAGGTAGGGGCTAATAACTTAAGAAGCACAAATGGGTTTCCAGGGGAACAACGGGAGGTAGGAAAGTCTGCCATAGTGTTTGTCTATACACCGATGCAAGTGGTCCACTTTTTTTTTTCTTCATA